GGACATCTAAATGGTTTGATGTTTCTCCAGTTTCTAATAAACCATCTCTCAATATTATTAGAAAGAAGAAGTCCCTTTCAATATTATAACCAACATGTGGCTTCAATTGGATGGAGCTCCGCCTCATTAACACTGCGAAGTTCGGCAATTTTTAAATGTCAACTTTCAAAACATGTGGATTGGCAGAAATGGGTTTCAAAATTGGCCTTCCAGATCTCCGGACTTAACTCCACTAGATTTCTTTTTGTGGGGTACATAAAAGGAATTCTCTACCATACGCTTCCGACAACTTCACACGATATGAAAACACGCATAAGAGACGCTTTTAAAACTGTAACTGCAATGTTACTATTTTTTTGTACATTGTTTCAATAAACCTACAACAGAACATTGAGTTTTTTCAATTGAAAGCTCCCTGAGTCTTTTCGATCTGAAAAAGTCTCCTTGTATGGCCCTTAAGGTTGACATTGGTTTGTCATTAACACAAAGCGACAAATGCCTAAATCATAAAACTGAAATTTCCGTGATAAATTCCCGAAAATTAATGGAAGGCGATGGATCAACCGCCCCAATTTCGCCGCCCATAAACTACAATGTATATTTTCCTAATGGCTACATCAACTATGAAAGCCCCATTTGTATGGTCATCAGTGCGGTTCTTTGGAGAAGCTTCTACATCCTGATTAGGTTCGCATAAAATAATCATCCACACACTTTGGTTCTCATTGCACGCTTTTGCAGGTTTTCCTTTCCACATGTAGTCCCTGAATTCTCTAGCAGGATTCTCAGTGCAACCCATGGTTTGCTGTCGGCTTTCCTTGGGATCAATCAGTGTTTTCTGTTTGATTGGCCGTTTGATCATCCTGAGTGGAAAACTAGCTATATTCAATCGTTTGTTATGACCATGAGCTTTGGGTACTTTGTCCATGATGGTTTATGGATGTTGAAATACGATAGAAAAGGTCCCATTGGCTTAGCCAAGAAAGAGAATCCAAAAAAATTCAAGTGATTGTTTCCAGATAAAACCATGATATGTCACCATTTGCTCTGCATTTTGGGCCTAACGAAAATTATCTTTAAAGGCTATTCAGGTGGTCAAGCGACTTGTGCTTTAGGCAGCATGGAAATTACCAATCCGTTTTTACAAGGCAGATGGTTTTTGCGAACGGCAGGAATGCAAAACACGCCCGTTTACAAATCGACGGAACTAACGTTTTTTCTGGTTTTTATCGTTGTTCGCATCGTTATCGGAAGCTATTTCCTAAATATCATACTGCGACAGCCGAAAAATGATTGGGATTTTATCATAATGTCCCTCGGGATTTACATTCTGTCTTGGCTTTTTGCATGGGGAATGCTGAAATATGTCTGGAAGCATTATGTTCAAAGTCGACCTGATGAGAAGACATAGTAAATAAATCAATATATTCTAGTCACCAAGTCCTAGTTGTTATATTTTCCATTGAAACAGAGATTAAAAATTGATCAAAGAGAATTCATTACAATTATTTCTACAAACAGGTTCGACTTTTAGTAATAAGTAGAACCAAGCAAATACGAGAAAATCCTCGCCAGAAAATATCTCCAAGCCAAAGAAAACTAGCAACGTTTATTTGATATTATTATGAAACTCACTAAATGACTGTAAAAGTTGCTTCTTTAACTGAATTTGAACATTAGGCAAGTTTGATCAACAAATCAATAGACAACGAAGTCAATTCCATAAAAACAAACAAATTTAAAATTATTCAACATTCGACTCGTCGCAAAAAGTCGCGTATTTCTTTGCAAACTTTCAGCACTTCGGAAAGTAAATTATTCGTTTGCTGTTTTGGAAAAGAATTTGTAGAAAGTATACTTGGTCTTAATCAAAACTGGACTTTTTTCGGCCTTGTGGCCACCATCCTTATGCGATTTGACGCCTCTAGACTTGGGTTTTTATGCTGTCGAGGAAATTAATACCTTTCTAATCAAGGATGTGAAAATGCAAGTCACTCGAAGAAATTCTTTTAGGAAGAATTTTTGAAGAAAGTATTTTTGAAAGGAAGAAAAAATATCATTGCACTGACGAGCGAGATTCATCGAGTGCCACGATGCAACCGTTTATGGAAAATTGTGTTGCATATGTAAACTTTCAGATCGAAAATTCATGAGAATAAAAGCATCAGAACTTTTCAAACAAACACTTCCGGATAATTTATTTAAATATAAAATGGGCCGAATGGAACACTCAATAGCTAAAATTGCCCTTAATTGATTGTGGTTCATCGGCGCGTTTTGTTCGAGAATTCGTCAGCTCAATCTGTCTGTACAGTTTTGGCTCACAGATATATGAACAATAAATTGTTTCAATATTTGGCACAAAATTAAATATGAAACACTTGGACAAATTAATGATGAGAAAAAAAGTTTATATTGTTAAATAGCCAGCAAAACTAAAGCGGAACGCAGCAAAAAATAAAGTACTAGGAATTTTAAAAATGTGAAAACTTGCCAAATGACTAAAAAATGCTGAAGAAATATTTTAGTTTCTATTTAACCACCAAATCCATCCAAATATCAGCTAGCGATTGAATTGAAACCCATGAACTTTTCGCCAAATCCCACAGTTTTAAATCAGTAGAAACACACTGAAATAGAGGATTTGCATTGTCAATATCATATCGTTGAAAAATGAAAGGAGGCTATTTAAGAAAACAGGTTCCAATTGAAAAGACTTCCTGCTATTGACAGTGTATGAAAATCAATTTCCCGATCGGTCCACCGGTAGAAACTGGTCCATCAAACCAGCGAAACAATAGACAAATAGCTTATACTGTCAATTTCAATTTCGCCGGGCCCGTATTTCTGTCGACGGCGGAAAATTTTATTCCATCCTCCAATAAAATCAGATTAAAGACTCGTATATATATGTTAGGTTTTCATCATAAGCTCGTTGCATTCCAAGTCTGTTTCGTTCCTTTTTTTTCGTTCATTTCACTTCGACGTACGCTCCTCTCGGTAATGGTGTCCTCGACTTTCCTGCTATGGATGTTCTTTTCATCTGATCTAATAATGTCGGAAATTTTCGACCTAATTTCGATTTGGTCGCCGGAAACTTGATTTTTATTTCCTACTTTGGAACGTGCTTGAGCGTGCTTGTTGTCTGCTTGATTGCTTCAGGTTGAACAGCTAATACGACCTTAGAGATCGCATTATTGCGTTTCTGGCCACATTATTGACCAAATATTATTTGCTTATTAAGTATTCGGTAAATGAAGGACAATAATTATTTTCGTAAGGAACAATCGATGGGAGATTTTGATCAATTTTTAAAGTCTAATGTAGTTGTTTATGGAACTATCAATTCTTGGGCTTCATATGTAATTTTTCATATATGAATCGTTAAAATAATTTTTGCTAAAGCTAGAAATGCTCTCTTTCTTTTATTACACATTTACTACATTATTTTCATTCCTGGGCTCCAGTCACAGTGTGAAACAATTTTTTTTGTATATCGTTTATTTCGTTACGTTTCGGCGAGACAACAGCGCCACCATCAGATTTTAATTAATTCAAACTCATAATTGGTAAACGTTTTATTAATTTAGGTCTTTGCTGTCTTGACACCTTTTGAGGTTTCCACTGGAGTCCAGGAAAGAAAATGATATAATAACAATTACACAGTCAAGAAAATAAATGAAAATAATTACACATTTACATCATTCATGAGATTTTTGTGATCTTTTCGTAAATTTTGGCAACTTGTTTCGTGTCCACCAGATAATTTGTTCAATATTTTTTCAGAAGCCTGGGAGCGCTGTAAACTTACACTTGCTTGTAATCGATTTGTAAAGAACCTTTTCTTCCATTTCAATTTTTGGGTGTCATTATCAGCGTTCCCACAAAACGCTAATCTTCTACATTGCTACTCAAAAATTCCTGCATTCCATGCACATTTTTCGTGGTAAATAAAAAAAGTAATGCGTTCAAGGGCTTTAGAGCTGGAAACTAGAATTTAAATGCGTTCTGTGAAGGCCAAATTTATGGTTTCTCGCATATGGAAAGTCAGTTAAGATGTTTCTAGTACTGAATGTCGACTATCAGTTTTCTGCTGTTGAAATAATCTTTTAAACAAAAAAACCTTGAAAATTATGGCTTTTTAATATGGACAGTTATGGCAATTTAAAGGTTAATTGCAAAATTAATATCAGTTTCATTATATTAAAGCGTTTTTTCCTTTTTTAATATTTGATTTATTGAATTAATGTATCATAAAACATTTGGAAGAAATAAGCAAAATGTCTCAGTTGCCTTCTTGGTCTTCATTCGGAACATGGTTCTGCAGTAATTCGCCTTAAAGTTAATAAATATAGGTAGATAAACAAGTAAAATGTTAAAAAAAGCAAAATAACGCACTAAAATGCGGCTAATGGAAAGGCGAAATCGACTCCTAGGAAAACCGGAAGATGTATGAATAATGCCAACAGAAAAACCAACAGAACAATCTTGGAAAACGAAATAGATATAAATTGTATTAGAACGAAGGAAAAAAAATTAAAATATAATATAATATTTAAATATATGATATTTAAATTCTTACCTATACAATTCAGTGGAGGGTTTTTGACAAAAATCTCGTCAATTTTTACTAGTGAATTCAATTTTTTTATTTAAATTTTAAATTCTTTATTGAATTTTAATTATGATTTAGGTACCTAAACTCAACAAGACTCGAGGAATTTACGAGGTGGAAAAACTAAATACCAAACTAATAAAATGCTAAAAAAAATTTTTTATGAGTACAAAAGCGCAAAAAGAATTTTTGCTTTTTGGATTTTGTGAAGCCGTAAACGACACACATATTGGATATTTAATTTAATTGTTTTCAAAAAAAATTAATTCATTGTCTAACTGATTTTTCCACAATATTGGATAAAAATATTTTGCATAAGAAAGTCGCATTTACAAATAAAAATTGCCGGATCTGAGTTTTCCTCCAAAAAACAGTTTGAACGCTGAATTTTAAACGAATTTACAGATTACTTCTGGCACTGACTTTATACTAATTGTAATAAAACGACGAAAAAAATAGGAAACTAAAAACATTATAGAGCATATAAATAAAACAAATCAAAAATTAAATCATTAAACGAATGGAACAAAGAACCAGAGACGCAAAGCTAGAATTGCATAAAAAAGATTGGGATGATCTGGAAGTTCAATTTGTATAAGTTACTGCAAACCACAAAGGAAATATGACAAAATCACCGCCTCAATAGCATTGAAGCTGGACATTGTGACAAAATACTGTGGATAGAAAAACTCGTGGAGAGACGATTGCAGAAATCAGCAGCAAGCAATAATAGCATTGCTTGAATAATTTATTTGTAGATGCTTTGCAAGGCTTGTGGGAGTTTAGGCTAATATTCTGAGATCCTAATGGTTTCTACAAAGTGTTCAAATCCGCCATAGTCACTGATCTTCCTTATAAGAAAATTTTTTGGGCAACTAAGTATGAGTGCTGTTTCTAATAGTGCAAATTTCAACTGAAGAACTCACCGATTGGCCAAAAGAATGCTCGGGACAAGTCAACATTTTAAAGTCTCACTCTGGGCGCAGATTTCCGCACTGCTAATCTACATAGCCAATAAATCTTGCGGCCTAAGCAATACCACGAGCTGGACCAAAAGAATCGCCCTCATAAATCGCTCAGCAACTTTAACCTGTCTCAGTGACGTTTTATCGGAAGATTCGGCCGATATGTTCGAGAATTATGCGTTACAGTTGGCCTTGTCTTTGAATCATACGTCCAGCTACGGAATTTATAGCTCTTATCCAGTCCCATCTCGAATTCAATGTTTAAATTAAAATACTGAGGATAATAAGGCCGTTTCGAAAATCTCTAATAAACAGCTGATCCGCCCTTTTCGTTTCGGCTGATAATTGCAGCAATCGATTAGGCCCGTTCAACTGTTTAATGAAGGCAATTAGGTGTAGGTATTTGAAAAGGTGCGAAGAAGTTAACAGTTGGTCGATTCGGGGGATGTTTATCTAACAGTATCAGGTTTTGAAGATAAATCTATTAACTGAAACGTTAATTTCCGACTAAATACATTCATAATTGGTGCCACCACAGTGTGACTACCCGCAAATAGTAATTTATCTTTATTCCAGCACATTTCCATAGTTAATGAATACAAGTGAAACAAATTTGCTAAATTCCCCATTCGTGCCATCAGACAGTGGAAAAGCTGCCCTCGAAAGTGTTGACTGGTAATTTTCCCCCCTAAAAACTTAATTACAAATCTAAATAGCATCCCCCGAATATGTCAGAACTTCTCAGGGAAACTACACGTAGCTCGCGCTTTTGATAAAATATCTAGTTACATGGAGTTGGGTTAAATTATTCTCTGGATTGTTGAATCCTAATTAATGGGGGCATTTTGAATTATATCCAC